CACATCTACATGTTATAGCAGACCTATATACAAAATTTCAACGTTCTGAGGCTACTCGTTTTTGAGATCTCGCTTAACGTACGTACGTACATACATACGTTCATACAGACGCCACGAAACATTCTCTTCAGAATTAATTTTAAAGCAGTTTTATAATTTTTTGGAGGAAAAGAGTATTTTATTCTGTCCTTACGTACAGATATCACGCAAAAACGTTGTTAAATTGCATTCGATAGCGGTCAAAATGGATATTTTCGTTGAAATATGCTGCCTGAAACTTTTCGCGATTACAATACTTCCTTTTACTTCGTACAAAGAAGTAAAAAGAAAAGAAATTTGTAATTCACTACGTATACCATACTATAGCTGAAAATTTCAGAGTTTGGAAATTACACCTTCCAATCGTCTGCCACATTTTCACCTAAGACTGACGCTTTCTAATAACTCTACCTACGGATTTCCCACTCTAATCTTAACATTAACAAGAGAGGGATTTAAGGCACTATGACTGTTGTGCATCTTATCAGCTTACAACCAAACATGGAAAAGCTATGCCAAAATTGGCAGGTTCATCCATATCTTTAATTGTGGGTAGCAACATATATTAGATTCATAATTCATAAGGTAAAGATTATCCAAACTTTAATAGCCTTGAATTCTTAAGAATAAATATAAATTTTATTCTATTAACTTAACTACTTAATGTCAATATTAAATCAATGTTAGTTAACTGTATTTTAAAAAAGCTACTACATTAACATGCACTGCTGTGCAACTTCTTCCAACATTAATACAACTGCAGTCGTCTGCGTCTATTACAGAAGGATACTGAAGCTGCCATTGCGTAACAACAATTATGTAGAGAATGCTGCTCCATAAAATCAAGAAACTAAACTGAATTGTTATTCAATTCAATTATGTCAAAAGTAGTGATAAGACTGAATGCCTTAGGAAAATAATTCAGAACGTCATCTAAATATGCTGGACGCATTACCAATTACCCATTTTGCATAAATTAATTTCAGAATGTCATTTAAAGGATGTATGCTTAGCAGAAAATCTCGATATAATATAAATTACTTCGTTTCTGTCACCAAACGGTTCTAAAGACTCAATAGTTTAAAATCTTAGAAAGTTAATGAGTACTGCAATGAACTGTCGGTTTTAATTTGCCTGCGTTTGAAGCTAATTCATCACTAACTATTAAAATCTAATTTATTTCTTAAAAATTTAAAATTTAAAACTATTCGTCGCTTTCCAGAGAAATGCAAAAGTTCCATATTAATCGAAAACGAGTTAATTAAAATTTTAGCGATTTGATGAGATAAATAATTACTACAATTCTGCGTTACAAACTCAATTAACTGTTTCATTTTACAAAGGATTATATTATTTTTTGTTTGCCTCTGCTCTCCTCCCTTTCCTTTCTCTTTCCTTGCCTAGTCTTTCTTAGTTTATTTCTTTATGTCATTAGAAGAAAAATATAAACGACTTTCATCGCTTTTACATATACACCGAAAGAAAAAAACAATCTTGATCATTTTATTTTTTATATTTTATAAAGTTCATTTAATAAAGGTGCTTCTTTTTTCTCCACAATGTTAAATTAGAATATCTTTCGCAATTAGACAATACGGCTTGTTATTTCAGGATGTCCTGCATAAAGGTTTCAAAACTATTTTGTTTTTTAAATATTTTTATAAAATTATTTCCCTTTGAGTTTCTGCTTTTAGATCTATTTTTTATACTCAAGACGGATTCTTTCGTATAAGGCTTTCGAAGGGAGACTCTCTCCTATCTCCATTACACATTAGGAAAACCACGGAAACGAACATGCAACCAACAGGTTGACCTAGAATCGAACCCAGGTTTAAACTACCGGTATTCGACGACTTCTTACTTGGCCGCTGGTAGGCTGCCTTTAAAAAATTATTTTAAATTTAGAAAGACAGTAAAGAGAGCTAAACCCATAATTTGTAACATATTTTTTTATTTTAAATGTTACCTTATGTTTCTATCAGTGAAACTATAAGCATTATATTTCGTAAACATTATTGGGAGAACTAACAAAATGGCCTTGTGATATGTTACCTTCTGCTAATCTCTCACTCTGTTACTGAGATTCATATTTCTATTTGCATCATATTTCCGAGCCCTAAAACTGCAGAAACAAGGCATGCGAATTTTTGCAGCATTGGCTCAAATTGTGTAAGAAGAATATAGTATCTGCAGTCATTTTTGTTAAATATGAACTTCATTATTTTTCGCTTTCGTACAAGAAAAAGCTGTTAGTCATCATGATTCCAGCTCTTACTTATAAGATGTCTACCTAGAATGAACTTAATTTTGATCTAATTTTAGTTTTAAATTACTTGGAAAACTCAATTCTTTAATTAAGTTAAAACATGGTTTAAAGAAAAGCAATTTATTTTATTTGTATGTTTATATCAAAATTCTATAATTTTATTTTAGCAAAAATATGCAGCGAAGCCCTACAAATATTTTACTATTCATTTCTTTCATCCTTCGTGCAGCAATAAAGTATAAAATAAGACCCTTTGACACATTCTAAATATTAACTTCTTGAGTAATTTATCCTACGGCAAGTGACGAGTATGTTTGTCTCAATACGCAATCAAGTCCCCGTTCTCGAAGTTTCTGTATTCATTAGATGTGAAATGAATTCTCTCATTCCAAAAAAGGAAAATTTTAAAAATAATTCTTCCTCATTCTACTTCTATAATATTCATTCATGTTCATTGCTGAAACTTCAAACGAGTATTACAATTATTACTTGCTCTTATGAATATATGTAAACAGTTCTTTCAATTAAAAACTGAAATAAATAATATTATCAGTTATACTTATAATTGAAAATGACATAACATATGTAGGAAACCTATGAATAAATCGTCTTACAATGCTTTTATAAATCTCTTTTCACTGGGAAGTGAATTAGCATAACAGGATGAAGGAATAATATTCAAAATGAAAAACGTACACAGACATATATATATAATGATAGCGCTGTTAAGTACAAATGCTGTCAAATCGCATAATATTAATTACTTGAGATTTTTCTATTTGCAGTAAAAATTATTTTTTGCGTTTAAGGAAGCATGAGTTTAAAAATAATTTCTCAATTCACACTTTAATGCAGTATGAAATATTAAAAGAAATGATTAATAAAATATTTCTAGGGTTCTTTGTATACTTTTTCTAAAAAATAAATTACGTAATTCTGATATAAACATTTAAATTAAAATAGTGCCTTTCCTTAAACCGGTGTTTTTCACTTAATTAAAGAAATGAGTTTTTTCCAAATATAGTTTTAAATTAAATTTGGTTCAAAATTATGTTTATTTCTAGATAGGTTCTTAGAAGTAAGAATTGGAATTATATTGAAAATGTTTCTTTGCTTGATTCAAGCAGTATTTTCTAGTGTCCTAATGATCGTGTCTCTGTTAATGAGGATTTCAATTTGTGAAGTATGCCCGAAATTTCTTAGTTCCTGTGAAAGTATTGGTAAGACATTAATTATCTACGATAAACATACTGGCTTTGACTTCAGTGCTCTACGATTTTTCCAAGCTGCGCTGGGAAACTGCTGGCCAAATTCAATAATATCCGTTTAAAACGACAACAGGCAACTTACAAAACCTTCCACATCTCAAACAATCCTTAAGGTATTATACATATATACGACAATAACAATAAGGTTCTAGTTATAACTGTTACGAACTACAATTGTAACAAAGCTGCTGAGGCATTTTGTGTATATACATAAGATAAGAAGAATGTTTACTTTGCAGTTGACTCTGAAGACTTCATTTTAATTTAGTATTTTCTTAATTTTAATTTAGTATTTAGTATTAATTTAGTATCTGTTTTCAAAGTAGTAACTTCTCATAATAAACCGTTCTAACTTGCATCATTCCAAATTTAATCCGTGTCGTACTTGCAGTCTACACGAATTGTCGGATTCTTGCATAATGACGATTCTCATGACGCAGCTGCCTACATAACGTTTCACCAAATAAGGGTTTAAATTTGTGACCTAAGACTTATCGACCAATAGGGATTAACGCGAACTCAGATCGAGTGGTTGTGAAGAAAGCATTCATCTTAGATACGTCGCTCCTGCTCTTGCTTGCTGTCCTACGAAGATGTTGGAGTGTACCTATCTTTTATCCTTTGTATCGTCATAACGATGTAGGAAAGGCACAAATGTGATCAGTAGCAGAGTTCCTGTTTGCGCACGTTGCATTTTGTAGTTCAGATCTCGAATGTTACCATCTGCTTGGTGCAGGATAAACCCTTACATATTCCGTGCGAGAAACCCATCGAAGAAGGAAAGAAGAATGTGCTTCTCAAGAAATAAAATATGTTCTGTTACTATCTGCATGCATCAGCGTTCCTTTATGTTAATGCCAGAAATTTGTAAATCATCATATACATATATAAGAAACATTTCGATTAGTAATAGTTTAGTCTTTTTTTTTTAATTATCTACTTTTATAAAAACATAAAGTTAGATTTTCTAACGTGTGTTATTTTAAAGCTGATCATTGTCGTACGACACTAATGAAGCACATTTTTCAACGAAGATTAAAGTTAAATTGAAGTCTTTTATTCAGTAGTGTCAAACAGTACTCAAACCAAAACTTGTATTACAGGACTACCAGGAAAGCATCAATCGTCTATTTAACTATACGTTTACTAACGTAATTTATTGCCAAAATTAAGGTATATCAATTGACCATGACTGATTATTCCATGTAACATCTCGTTTCCTTCTTCTACATCATCTATGCCAAATTTAAAATCTTTTGTTACATGCATAGAAGAAGATTAATTCTTCAAGGCAAATAACCGAAAGATATCTTGAACTTATATTTTTTTTTAAATTTCCTTTATGAATTTATGTTCCAATGTTTCTTTGTAATAAACAATTACATTGTTTCTCGTCAAAGGTAAATGTGTACTTTATTTATTTCTAGTGTCGTTCGCTCGTGAAATCTTCCAAGTGTCCGTGAACCCTACTGAGGATTCTCAGAGACTAGGTATGAGCGGCGATCTTCAACTAGCTATTTTTAGCCATGGAGTGGGGTTAGCTAAACCGGGCATGGCGTCCTGTTTCGTAGTATGGCCTGTTGCATACATCCGTCAGTATCTCCATGAGTCCACTGCATCCACAGGCAGAACAAAAACAACCATTGTTTCCCTTGAGGTTGGCAGGTAAGTAATGATTACATTTCAGAATTATACCTTTTAACGCAGTGTTGCTTGTAACTGGATTTTAGAATAGCAGATGCAATATCGCTTATTTAGTCCAAATCTCAATAATTCGAGCAATTTGTTCCCAAGTTTTAAATTACTTATTACAAGCTTAATTTAATTTATAAAAAAAATCTGTTCTTTTTACCATCTTATTTCTTCTTCTTTTGTTCTATCATATTTAAACTATTTTTATTTTTTAAAGTTTCTACACTTATCATTTTATAGAACAGAATGTATAGTTTTACTGCGTCGATAAAAATCTAAATTAAATTCTAATGAAAAAGGAAACAAGGGTGCACTATGTAAAACTTAAAGAAAAAATACCAACATCTGACATGTGGTGAGATAGTTTGTTTTCCACCACATAACAAATCTTGTCATTCTACTGGCGCTACATAATTTAGAATTTAAATTGTAGAGCTCCTCACTGGGTAATTCTAAGTGATTGTTGAAAGTGAAGAAACTTAAGAACTAGTAAGCTAATAATATCTTGAGTTCGTGTGACAGTAAACAACAAGATGGAAGGGTAAAATAACCCTTTATTATTCAAAAGAAAATTTGACAGAACTCCGTCTTGGAGTTGTACAATAAAGCCGACACTTGGGTTTGAACTTAAGAGACTAAAACTAAACTGATCTTAACTACCGAGGTATAGTCGAAGCTATCAAAGTTCTAACAGAGTTGGCCCCTTAACGTTAATAGACTGCGAAGCTTTCAAGGGCCTAATGTACGGCCGAGCGTATTAATAGCTTACGGGAGAGTAGCCTAAAAAGGCGGACACGTGCAGTCTCACTAATTCCGAAAAAATTCGCGGTTAAATACCGCTCTTCCTAATTATGTATTCAGACTTGATTCTAAAACTACGTTCTGGCCGGACGTTGTAAGTTAAAGTTAAGGATCGATGGGAAAGGAAATTTAACTCAAAATTTAACTGTTAATAAAATTTAACATAATCCGTATAAAATCCATAACTTAAAATATTAAACACATCATAGAGTGCTTAAATCTAAAAACGTATTCAAACTAATTTCAAATCTTTATATGTGAATGGAGAAAGAATTTGAAGTCTAAAGAAAAAAAATACACTCTCTCTGTATATATTAAAAAACCTCAATGGCGCAACAGCCTTAAGAGAGCCATGGTCTGCAGTGCCCTGATAAATGTTGACCTCCACCGTGGTTCTGGGTTACCTTCTCGCAGAGTTCCCAGTGTTTAGTCCCCAAGCAAACTTGGCACTCATTTAATCGACCCACTCGAGGGATGGAATTCTGAGAAATTCTTGCTCAGCTTAGGGTTCAAGTTCCGGACCTGTGGTGCTACTGAGCGACGGGCTAGTCACTGCACTATTTGTCCATTTCGCTGAGATGCTTCGATTTATGTTAAGTTTAGGTAAGAGCATGTTAGTCTCTCGTTTCTCAAATATTTCTAGTCAGAGAGGCAAGCAAAAAGCACGAAAGAGTTCAAAACGCTTTTCTAGTACATAATTAAAAATAATATATCTTTTGCTACTATTTTTATTAATATTATTGCAATTTTTTACCACCAAAGATTTTTTTTTCTCTTGCCTTTCCCAAATTCTTTTCGAAAATTCATTTTCTGTTACTTTAATAATATAAAAGCATAAATCTTTGTCTATGTATATCTTACTTATTTAGTTCTTCCGTAATAAATAATGCAAAGCAGTTGTATGGTAATGTGTTATGTGTAATGCCACAATGCAAAGTATAATGCCTAATATCGTCTTCCTCAGCTTCTAATATCGCTCTCATATTCAATGAAAAATCAACTAATGAATCAACTAATATCAACTAATAATCAGCATTCTGCTCCACATACTACTGTAACTGCTTTATTGTAACTGTGTTTTATCTTATCAAATTCCCTTTGCTGATTTATATTTATAGCTCATCCATGTTAAAAGCTTTTCCTTCACTGATTTGAATTTAAAAGCTTTTCTTCAGCTGATTTGAATAAACCATACATTATGCTGTCTTTCCATGTTGTATGATATCTGCAATACCTTTTCTCATGGGTGAAAAAACTGAACATATTTGCACAAAAGTGTAGTCCTTTTCGCTGAGATGCTTCGGTTTACTTTGTGTTTATGTAAGATCATGCTGCAGTCTCTAGTTTCTCAAATATTATAAGGCACACAGGCAAGAAAAAAGCACAAAAAAGATCAAAGTGCTCTTCTAGTATATGATTAAAAAATAGTGTTACAGTTTTACAGGAGAGGATAAAATTAGAATCATTCATCTTCCTCATCTAATATCGGAATAGAACTCTCCTGACACGCTTCCAACTAGACGTCTGTGCTTCGCGGGTTAACTGTAAAATTATGCATTTCATTACTATAAAGAAAACTGAATGTTAATAAATGCTGACATTTTTAATATATGATGAAAACACGTAACTGGTTGAGAATTTGTTGCTATTTCTTGTATCAGCAAATAGTATATTTTAAATGTATCATGCATTTGGGCTCTTTCTCTCACTGATATACACATTTATACTCCTCTCTCTAAAATAAATTAGAACACTTATAAGTATTGAAAACTAATAAATTAAAAAAAATTAAAATGCAAACTAAATTATTGGTCCTCTCACTTAATGTGCTATTATAATGGCATCCACATTGAATATTTTGAAAAATATTATGATAATTTAAAGGTATAATTGATATTGTTGTCAATATATAGCAACACGAGACTGATAATTATTTTATTACCTGCGTCTTACGTCAGTGAATCAAGAAAATGGCCCAAGTTAGAAAAATTCATTATTATTCGAGATACCTATGCTATAACTTCAGCACTATGTCAGATCACTATGAGAGTGCCTAATCACTGTTAGAGTGTCACTTTATCACGACACGAATTTCCGCGATTTATTTCTCTAATCGAAGTAGATTTTCTAATATTCTTATAAATGATGGTTTATTTTTGTATTTAAATAATTTCACGTGACTTCTCTATGGAGGTACGCGGAAATACACTTCAAAGTAATACTTTTCTGAAATTCAAATAAAAAGAATAAATTACTTTAAACTTTGCAGAACTTCGAAATACCTTCGAAAGACGATATTGGGCATTACACTTTGTACTGTGGCATTACACGTTACACACTACCATACAACTGCGTTGCATTATTCATTAAGGAAGAACTAAATAAATAAGATATAAATAAACAAAGATTTATGTTTTTATATTAGTAAAGTAACAGAAAAAAAATTTTAGAAAAGAATTTTGGAAAGGCAAGAGAAAAAATCTTTGCTGCTAAAAAATTGCAATAATAATAATAAAAATAGTAGTCTAATAATATTAATAATAAAGTCGTTTCGTGAAGTTACAAAATCTCATTATTACCTTTGCTTGCGATAAACAACGTGAATTACAAACGATTCTTTTTAAAAACCTGTAATTGAACGAAGAAAATCTATGTAATACGTATAGTGTCCAAATTAATTATAATGAGATCTACAGTAAAATTATTTAACACGTTTTCAGAATTTAATTATTTATGATTCTCAATTGCAATGAAAGGTGCATGATATAACCTTTATTTAGCTATATACAAGTTATTTTCGCTTTATTGTGTCATTTATCATAGATATCCCTCTCGTCCGCTAAATTCTTTGTGCTAATGATAGGCAGCACGAATTTACGAATTTTCGTTACACATTCCGCGACCGCATCGCGAGTTAGGCCCTTTTTCCCGTAATTCAAAAACTATCCTAAACATCACCTATAACAGAAATGAGAAAATAATGTTATACATTTTATATTATATTTTTAAGTATAAATTTTATTAGATTAGGCTAGTTTATTTGAATATAGTAACGCCATGAGGACTATCTGCCTAAGAGAAGTGGTAATTTGGTGGATTCCGTTCTGAGGGGAACTGTTTCGTATTCAAATTACACATGGAGAAAACCACGAAATCAACCATGGAATTAACCCGCTCGCATGAAACCTCTTCTGTTGAAAACTTATGCAAACACTTAGGGAAAATTCAGAGCAAACTTAAGTTTTATTTTGTTAGCTTTACTTTCTTAGTTTATTTAAGTAAAGCTGTTGAATTATGGAAAGGGAAACGTGCAGTTTGCTATCAAAGATTATCTTTAAGCCTATAAAAAAGCGCGAAAAGAAATTCCCAAAGGAAGAAACGTACAGAATCATGTAAATTTCTCGGCGGAGAAATTACTAGCTAATGCAGCTCAGCTTTATTTTTTTTGAAAGGTTTTTCTTAAAAAATACGTTGAGAATATTCGTGTTAAAATTTCTAATTCCTAATTTTTTTGGTCTTGCCAAAGCACTGCTCTGCAATATTTAGAATTCTTATCTCGAAATACATTGAGAAGTAACATAATGAAAGTCAGTTTTCTTTGCATTCATTAGATATATAAGGTTAAAAAAATTAAGAACAGTCATTTCATATGTTATCTTTAAAGTTTTGCTATATTTTTAGCTTGATGAAAATCAGAAATATGATAAGACAGTTTGCTTAAAGTCTTGACTAGAAGGCTTGTTCAATGCTTAAAATTACTAATACTACACTCATGTTCATAAATTAAGGATTATTCGGAGTCACGCGGAAATCGAACTCTAAAATATATATATCACCTGTAAAAGCACTACACACATCTTCAAGAATCATATGCAAATTTCAGGAAGTAACCAGATGACACCGATGGTACGTCACAATGACGAGAGTGTAAGAGAGTGATGTATAAGGAATACAGGCAAAGAAGTAAAATTGTTCACAGGCGCTTTATAAGCATTTCAGTGCAATAACCGAATAGTTATGACACAAAGGGCGCACTTGGATGAGTTTTTACGTGGTAGAATTATCAGCCGTCTGGAATGTGGGCGTACCCAACTGGAAGTATCAGACGAACTTGAAATTGCCCAGAGTGTCATCTCCAGGCTTTGGCAACGATTCCAAGATGATGGTAATGT